CCTTGAGTTAGGAGCTTTGAATTTCTAATTATGGCCTCTCCACCGATCGACAGCTCGGTGAGGAGAGTGACGTCATTCAACGTAATCGTCATTTCTCCCTCAAGAAGGTGAAAGGTATGAGTCTACTTTTGTCACCTCTCGATATAGATCGTAAGGATATTGTTATCTATCTTCACCCTTACGAAGCGGATCGGATATGGTCCTCCCACCTACTGTTGGGAGGGCATCCTCCCAGCGGAGAATGTGATATTTCTGTAATGATAGTATAGTATACGATTCATAGGAATACATATTCGTTCAATAAGAAAAATGTATTCTTATAATAGATAGTCGTATGAAATCAAGCCTTCAAGAATATCATATTCTCATAACATAAATATCATATTTTTGAAAGCTTGATTTCATACTACTATCTATTATAAGAATACATTTTTTCTTGTTGGACGAATATGTATTCCTCTAGATCGTATACTATATTATCATTACACAAATATCATATTCTCCGTTGGAGGACGTAATCCCAACAGTACATGGAAAACCTTATCTTTTCTGCCTACGAAGAACCTCGTTCTGTCCAAGCCCATAAAGGCCTTGCCATACCTATTCCAAAGTGACAATTGTAAGGTCCCATATGGATGATGGTAATTAACATATGTTCCTATATGAAACAAAAATGACCTGATTTTTTTTTTAATTAAAAAATTAGCAAATAAATGAGATATATATATATATATATATATATATATATATATGATCGAGTTTTTATCAGGTCACCTTTCCAAACACTTTGGGGTCGGTGTTAACCGTACGATGCCCATAACTAGTAAGAGAGGAAGCCCATAAACTATATAGAAAACCAAATCACAACAAATTCTAAAGTATGATAATTACTTTCGTTCCGTGCAAATGTACCACAAAGAACGAGACATTAAGAACAAGTCAAGGGAACGGCCATGATCGGTGGAACAAATAATAACGGGAACGGCCATGATTGGTGGAACCTAATGTAAAGACTTCCCCGTAGAACGAACCAATACCATTGAATTTACCTCTTTAACAAATCAATTAAACTCCAATCAAATGCACGTTTCATTATATATTCAAATGCAAGTCTCTGAATCAATATATCGTTGTCATCCCTCCAATATTCAAATCGGATTAATTAATGAAACTCCAAGTTAATTACTAATAGTCATTCACCTAACCGAGGACTTCCCGTCAATTAACATATAAACAAAACATAAGTAGTGGGTAATCGAGGTACCTCTCTTGTTTGACTCACGAGCTAGCCTGTCGATAAATATATGAACCAAGTTGCAATATATATCTCCATTGAATGAGAGAGAAGACTTCGAGATGGTTGGTGCTTTTATAACGAATGGGTTAACTAAGCACTGGAGATTATAGGGTAGAGATACCAATTAGAATGGAGGGCATCCGTACTATTAAGCGTTCTCTGCTTATTGTGTTCTACACCGCCTTTTTACTCTTCATCGTCGTCGGCGTCTTCATTTCATCCCCACCGGCACCAACCAATACTGCTTCACTACCCAGTAAGTGTATATATATTGGTCAATCTTTCTATGATATATTGTGGCATATGTTAAATGGTTTATTTCAGTGTTCAAAATTCTGACCAACAAAGGAATCGGTGGGGGTTTTTGGTTTGCAGGGGAAAGTGGGAGGAAGATGTTGATGAGGGGAATCGGTAGGCAGATGAAGATTGGCGTAAGGGGGAGTAGTTCAGGTTCCGGCGGCCATGGTCACCACTAGCAGCCATTAGTTGGATTTTTTTTATTTATTTATCAAAATTAAATCTGCTTCAGCTTTTATTGATAGAAAGTAATAGATACATCGTCAATCTTAAATTTGTAGTTCACGAGTTACTCAACGTTCGATTCTATAAAAATTGTTTGAAACTCGATTTATTTACTAGCGAGCTGCGTTTAAGATAAATCTTGTTTAGTTGCGAGGCTTGCGAGTTAGCTCGATTTGGTGCTTTGTTGAACTCAATTCTTGAGCTGTCTTGTTTTGAGATATAAAAAGATATCTTAACATTTTCACTAGCTAGGTAGTACTAGCCTATGAGGCAATTGATCTATATATTATGAGTTATTTTTGATAATTCATAAGTTTGGTAAATTATATCACCCCAAATTATGTGAGATTTTCCCCCCAAAGTACACAAGTTACTAAAAAAGTTCTCACTATACAATAGTTTTATGAAATTATCTCAAAATACACACATGTTTGGTATTCATCACTGCAGTTAAAAGTGATAATGGGATTGATCGCTCTAGTTAAAAGCGATCTCACCTTCTTCGCATTTGTCGAAAGCGATCTAGTGATGATCGTAGTTGCCGGAAGCGATCCACCTTGTGATATAAAGAAAAAGAAAAAGAAGTGCTAGGTCCACCATAGAAGTAGTTATCCTCGCCGCCGGTGGAAGATCCACCGTTAATGGAGTCCAAGTTTTGTAACTTCCTTTTTGACTATGCTGCCTGTGCTTGAGAGATGATTCCAGGAGATCCTTCAGTGGGACTGAGATGGTGTCAAGAACCAGTTGCTCCCAATAACTCGAGTTGTTGGGAGAGGTTCAATCGTGGATCATATACCACAACACTAACACGCCCCCTCAAACGAAAGCCACTCACAAGGGCTTGAAGTTCACACAGGTCTGAAGACAAGAATACCATCTGCTTAACAAATGGGGGTCACTGGGAATCGAACACAAGACCTCTCGGCCTGATACCATGTCAAGAACTAGTTGCTCCCAATAACTCGAGTTGTTGGGAGAGGTTCAATCGTGGATCATATACCACAACACTAACAGATGGCGCCGACATTGCATAACTTTACTGGAACTCAAAACTCTGCAACTGCCGGAGCAGGGCTGATGGTGTCAACAACGAGAACCTGACATTCCGACCAGTTGAGAGCCTAGAGATCTCACTTAAATTGATTGTTCGATGATGATAAAAACATGGATTTTAACCGATAAGTAGAGGTTGCAAATGGATTGGATTCATGGATTGGATTGGATTGGTGGATTCATGAATCAAATGGATTGGTGAATTCATGGATTGGAGATTGGTGGATTATCCATGAATCCAAATGACATCCTCAACCTTGGACCAATATGTAAAATGTAAAAAGTGTAGGTACTAAAATGTTATAATAAAAAAAATTTAGGTACCAAAATGTAATTTTCGAATGATATTTTTTGTGTAAAAAGTAAATTTTAGATACAAAAATGTAAAAAAATATAGATACTAAACTGTAATCTGCCAACGATCTATGAATCAAATCCATCAATCCAATTGGATTTGGATCAAATGGATTGGATTAAAATGGATTAGATTAATTAGATATTTTTAATGAATTGGTAGATTAGATTGAGAAATGTCACCTCTATCGATAAACCATCTCTTAATTTAAGTACCCACTAACCAACGTCCTAATTAACAACCTAATTTAATTGATAATTAAATTACCTAAGGTTGGAAGATTGTAGTTTATGGCATATGATATATAAGACTCTGAACACGTGAGTAAATATGTATCATTTGTAATTTAAATGAGAAATTATGTATCATAGATGGCTTATATACCGATGGTGAAATAACCTGATATGAATTAGAACTAAATAATGATATCAACAGAGTATATATATAAACATGAACTAAGCTTTTTTTTATAATAAACATGAACTAAGTTTTTTTTACAGTTAAACATGAGCTATATAAGTTAATGATAAAAAATTGTCTACTTTTTATCTTAACATGAATCACATATATCATACATGACATATAAATATTAAAGAATTAAATGAGTTGAACTGGAGACAAACTCGTAATCAAGCTTCACTAGAAGTGTAGAACTCATTAGCTCGTTAATTAATGTTCTGCTTACGGCAATTCGCCACACTCAGATGTATGCTAAGGTCACGTTTGATTAAGTGGATAAAGCCGGGAACATTTGTGTCCAGCATCCCACATGGGTCAAACGACCTAATATATCTCACGCAGGTAGAGGTACACCTACACAACACAAACAGATCATAGGTAACATTTCTACCAGAAAAATGTCAGACAATAAACTCAAGAATATATGAAGAGGATATTTTAGGTGGTTGGAACGTGAGACCTTTTTTAGCTAAAGCTATAACTTTCCTATCTCTTACAAAAATATTTTCTTTACATTTGTATGTACCAGTAATTCATCATAATCTCCTTCACTTTATCTCTAACAATTTCCAAAATTCAAATCCATCGTTAGAATGTTCAGAGTTCCAACTCATGTTCAATGAGATTAATTGACTCACTTTCTTCTCATTCTGTTGTTCAATAATTAGTGAGGTCTTTTTTTGGAGTATGAGCTCTTGAAGTGAAGTGAATTACTGGACACAATAATTAGTCCGTCTGTCGCCTGCCTCAGCTTGAACGTTTTGAAGCAATTGTCTTGTTCTTGTTTTTGTTTTGTATTTGCCTTAAAACTCCTTGTTTCTCTAATTAATAAAATTAGTTCACCTTTAAAAAAAAAATTGAATGTTAATTATAATTGCAGTATCATAACTAATAATGTAGTACTACATACATGGACTAGTTGACTAAAACACCAATAGATTATGATTGTTGAAAAATCAATTCAACCAATTTGACCTGGTGGTCTATGACTATGTCATTCAAATGGGAAGTCTTAATTGATTAATTCATCCAAAACTTATTAGTCATTTACCTAACAGATCGAAGACTTCCTCCTGCTCTATTAACCTGCATACATGATAATTATATAATTAATTAACATAACTGAGAGATCAAAGTACCTCTTTGTTGGACTTAGCTTGCAATATTCCAATATTATTCAGCAATTCTTGCGTCATCACAAAATGGAAATGTACCCAACAAGAGAAGACTCGAGTTCCATCATCGCAGTATAAATTGCTATGTGCAACTGCTAGCTAGCCATAAGTACTAAGTACTACCATGGCCAGCCATAACAACCGTTTTCTGCTTCTATTCTTCATCCTCTTCCTCTTCTCCTTCCCAACATCTTTAGCGGTACCTGTAAACACTGCCACTAATCTACCTAGTGAGTATATATTTCTCGACGTATATGTTCTGTAGTCGATACTTTTTCACAAAGTTTTTTTTTTTTTTTGATAACGAGGAACACCCTCTACGGTCACCACATTTTGTGGTGCCGTAGTCGGGCTAAACCCCGGGACCTCCGCCGGCGGTCCGGGTGATAGCGGGATGCCTCCGGTAACACCATGGTGGCGGTGAGGATCGAACCTGGGACCTTATGGTCACCAGTCCTCCTCCCTTACCACCAGGCTTAGCGAAATATGTTCGATCTCTTGTTGATGAACATACATCGCTAACAATATTTATCGTTCGTTTTCTTATTTGGTCGATTGCTTGTGGTTATAAGATGATTCTTACTAATTGTTGGGAGCTTGTTTTGCAGAGGAAAATGGGAAGAAGTTGGACAGGGTAACTGGTGGGGTTAGGAAGATAAGCGTTGGAGGGCATGGCTCAAATCCGGGCGGTCACGGTCACACCCCAAGCAGCAAGAACTAGCACCGCGTGAACATTTTGGACTGGGGAGATAGGAGATTTCAGGTCCTCTTTCAACTAGGACTTTGACTGGCAATAAGGGCCAACGGAAGAGAGATGACTGGCTGGTTTAAAGTTTAAACGAAGAATTGCAAAATTGTATTGGAGGTAGGTAAAAAAAAAAAAATAGCGGTAGAAATTCATGTGTTCTACCCGTAGAATATTATATACAAACACTGGTTTATACACATTTTAGAACTCATGTGTTCTGAGCATAATAATACGGCTATCAAATTGCACATCCAAAATAGCTTTTGATGCATTTATGTTTGCTCCTTTTTTCTGTCCACAATATTTGGTGGGCTGGTGGGCTAAAAATCAATCAAGCCCACAAAATCCAAAATGTTGACCCAGACCGACCTACTAGAATTCTTCGACCCAACAGCACAAATCCCTTGGGGCATCGGAATGCACGGCGTTCAGCTGGAGCCTGGAGAGTGGAGACGATCTAGTGGCAATGGATCGGGTTGGGACTGGTTATGTCAAACCCAAATCTAAACTTATGGACTTATCCATAAAAAAAATTTGGAGAAAAATTTACTGGATTTGAAAAATTCAAATCTAATCCAACCCGCGGGGTATCCACGGGTTCATGGGTACCCATGGATTCATGTACAAAGATGCAATTACACTAGTTTTCATTACTATTGTCTACTACAGACACGCTAATTCACAAATCATTTATAATAATTTTCAATATTAAAGATAAACTTTCACAAATAATATGATTAATTGAAAGTGTGAGTAATTAGTGTAGAAATAATAGTTAATTAGTTAAGGGTTTCGTGGGTCGTGGGGTATGGACTTGGGTGTGGGGATCCACGGGTTGGATATGACTAAACCCAAACCCAACCCAATCCGCAAAACGTATAGCGGATTTAAACCCGAATTCGGCCCATAATCCGTCAAAGCGAGTTTTACTTGTGTTGACCGAGTTGGATTGAGTAGTGTACCGCGAATTCCGATTCTATTGCCATCCTTAATTTAGGCTAGAGATATGACTTTTTAGTTTCCAGCAGGTCAAATCTAAAGGTTGAGAGTAAATGATTTTTTATTATTTTAATTGTTTGTATATCCCCCAATAATGACAAAGATAAAATAGTTAAAAACCTGCACTCCCAAACCAACACTCAGTGAAGCCATTTAATTGTTTGCATTTTATTTGTTTTAGTTCAAATTTTAATTTTTTCTCTACAAATGGGACAAGTTCATTGTGATTTAAAAAATTATGGCACAATTTTCATTATATTTCAAGAATTGTCTTTCATACCCACCCATTACCACTTGTTACCATATTGAATAGAAGGAACGAGTTTATTGTGATGTATTATGATCTACAAGTTTGTGGAAAAAAAATCTCAGGACCAAATATACAACTAGAGGTGGCAAATGGATTGGATTGGTGGATTGGTGGATTGGATTGGTGGATCCATGGATCAAATGGATTGGATCTAATGGATTGGTGGATTCATGGATTGGATCAAGTGGATTGGTGGATTATCCATGAATCCAAATGAAATCCTCAACCAAGGACCAATATGTAAAATATAAAAAGTTTAGGTACTAAAATGTCACAATGAAAAATTTTAGGTACCAAAACGTAATTTTCCAATGATATTTTTCGTATAAAAATTAAATTTTAGGTACCAAAATGTAAAAAATAAAAATTATAGGTACTAAACCGTAATTTGCCAATGATCCATGGATCCAATCCATGAATCCACCAATCCAATTGGATTTGGATCAAATGGATTGGATTTAAATGGATTGGATTAGGTGGATATTTTTAATGGATTGATGGATTGGATTGGTGGATTGGATTGAAATTGCCACCTCTATATACAACGCTGGTATAGGATTGCAACTGGTGTAGACGATGTTAAAAGGTGATAAATGACGGTTAATATATTTCTACTATCTTGTGCACAATTATTACACTATGATATATTCACACCACTAAAGTACATTTCCATACCATCATGGTATAACAGTGATATATTCATACCTATCATGATATAAAATGGTAATATATATCTAAATGATTTTTGTACCAAAATATATGTGAATATCATTAAAATGGTCATATATAATGATATAAATGGTAATATATCTATATGTGAATTCATCGCCTGATCTTCTTGTTGAGGTGCTTTTTTGGAATTTTTGATCTGCGGGCGCTTTTTTGTTTGTTGCTGTGTTGGGATGGCCTTCTCAATCGGCTGAATTACCGTTTTGTTTCCTGGGCAAATCCCTTGTGATGCTCGTGTACTTCCCTGGCTAATTTATTTGCTTCCATTCAATAAAAAAAATTAAATTCGCTTTCGACGATAACATAATTTATTTCTCTTTCTTCGATTTGGATTCCGGCAATGGAAAGTGAGTTTGATTATGACAAGTTGGCCACTAAAGTATCCAATATGAGCTTACTAAGTTTCTCGTTGAGCTTGTAGGATTTTTGGGACATAATCACAGAAATGTTGTTGTGGTTTATAGTACACTTAGGGCTACAAATGAGTGGAGTCGAATTTTCATCTAACTTGATCGGGATTGTTTAAACGAGTTGAGCTCGACTTGTGTTTGATGTAGAACACATGTACCACACATATAAAGAAAAACAAACATGAGTGATTATGGATCGGTTGTCTAGACTTGTATGTTGGGCTTGACCCGTTGCTAAGGCCCAAGAGATGGACTCTGGCCCTGATTAAGTCGCCTTCAACCTTGGATGGACAAGGTAGTGTTCATGTTGAGAAGCAAACACATAGAGAAGAGTAAGGAGAGACACACGTACATAGAGTGTTTTGTTAAACTAGTTTGAGCCTTATTTATTTACTTCTCGACTCAAAAGTGGCTTACCCTTTAAGATCTAGTCTCCATGTTTTTATCTTACAATCTAACTCCAAGTTGATGAGGAGACCCAAGGTTAATGAGGAGACGAGTTATCAGGGATCCAAAGGGTAATGTGGCATGATATTTGAAGTCTCTAAAGGGCATTAGGGTTCCAAGAGAAAATAATTAAAATCAAGAGGAATGGAGGCTATTATTCGACAGAGAATCTAGATATTTAAATGTACGATAATATCCTTGAAGAGTGCTCTTGGGAAGAAAGTTCGTGTGAGGAAGTAGTGGAATACTCTTAGATTTGGTGGAAGGGTAGAAGATGGAACCATTTGAAGTGCATTAGGAGGATGACCAGTAAGTTGGATGGCCTCATGATCTTTGTTAAACCCATAGGCTTTTAGTTTAGAGTCATGAGCTACAGTATCTAGTACTCCCGGAATGTTGAGAATGTGAGGCAACTCATAATTGGGATGCTGATCATATACCCATACAGAAGAGTTGTAGTAGAGAGAGTATGGAGACCAAAGGTTCTAATATTTGAATAGAAATACCTCATAGTTTCAGGAGAAATCAGAGTGGGAGGCTCGTCAAGAAGGAAGTTGACTCGCAAAAACACAAACCAAAGTACGATCAAGTGTAATCATAGGATGGAAATGCAGAATAGTGGGAAATTTTTACTTATCAACCCGGGGTCTAGATCTACTGCTTACTCCGTAAACTTCTATTATCTAGCAACTAAAGTGTAGTGAGTTGTTCAAATGCAAATTAAACAGAAAGTAGGAAATGTTCTGTTTTTTCAAGTATGCTAAAGGTCATCCAGGTATGATTCCCCTAGTATGCAACTAGTTCAAATGATATGTTCCCAATTTACTCCGATTGATAGATATATTGCAAAAAGTTCTTGAGTACTCCGGAATCTCGACTAAAGTAATCAAGACTCTATAAGTTCGAATACCAGACGGGCGACTAACCTCCACCGACATAAGCTAACCAATGCAATAACAAACCAAACTTCCTCTACTGGTTTTAATTCCAGTACAGAGTGGTGAATCGATTTCTCGACTAAAGCAATCAATTCACCACTTCTAAATTAAGGTTGCTCTATTAACCTATGCAGAGACTATCATTATAGGTTAAGGCAGGAATCACAAAAGTTTGATCAAGACGCATGCAATTCTGATTAATGCCTCATTTGAATATATCGAAAATCATTCGTAAACGGGGTTCATACAACCATTCATAACATACAAAACTAGCATTCTTCATACCCAGATGAAAGAGGAGTTTACTACATAGAGAGAAGAAGAAACATCAAGCTAGGAGGAGAAATCGTCATGGGGACAATGAAAATCTTCTCCAGGCGACTAATCGGTACTCGGAGAGTGAAGAATCAAGCTCTGAGGTCTTCAGATCACTCCAATCCTTGCCCAAGGTTTGTTCTTCGTCACTTTCTCTCTATCTAGGGTTCTCTTTCTTCTCTTTAGAACTCAAAAATCCGGAGCCTTTTCAATTTGCCTGAGCTACAGTTTTATATGTCAGAATTCGCGAGTTACAGCCAAAGTTACTGCTGTAACTCCCTCTCCCAGCCCGTAACTTCTCCATAAATGTCGACGTCTTTGTGCTTCGTAAACCAAGAGTTGCGACTCTTATAGAGAAGTTACGGTTACGACCGTAACCTTGAGGAGGGGGCCATAACTTAAAAAATGCTCCTCGAGGCTGGAACCTCAACCCCGCTTCTTCAGAGTTACGGGCCTGGAGGGTAAGCTACGGTCCGGACCATAACTTCAAGGGTCTGACCGTAACTTTGAAAGTTCTCCTGGATCCTTGGCTATTGCTCCACCGAAGTTACGGGCTCATAGGGAAGTTACGTCAAGACCATAACTTTCAAGGCCTGACAGTAACTTTTCCCTGCTCTCTGCCCGTTCGCACTAAAACATCCCAAAACTCGCTCCTTCGCACCCATTCACGTACTAGAACTTGAACATCATAAACCAACACAACCTAGCATAAAATAGGCCACGAGAGCGAGAAAGCGAGCTCAAACATCAAGAAATGATGGGGGAAAATGTTCAAATACAGTGTTATCAGAAGTCCCAACCAAGATTGTGAAGGTAAGGCTAGATATAGATCTCGTGGTTGATTAACTCAGTCAAGGGTACTTGGTGGTATGGAGTTATTTCTCGGTTGAAGTATGATTGATCATGGCATTGAGAGTTCACATGAATAGGATCTAAAAGAAGAGCTCTTGTGAATGTTTTAGCAAAGGAAAATACCATGATGAAAAGAGAGGTGTAGGTGAGTCCTAGAATGAATTCAACGCGGTTTAAGTAGGGAGGTAGTAGGTAAGTTTGCACTTAATGTTGATTCTGAAAATTTCTCTTAAACAGGAAAGATGAATCCGTCATTGATTTAGAAATGAAAGGGTGTTGATTGTTCAACATTGATTTTGGGAAGAGATCAATCCTTATCATGAATCCATTAATAATTTATTCATGATATGTAGCTCTTAAGATATATTATATGAAGATTGCTGAAAGTGGGTATAGAGGCCAAAGGTTCTCATATTTGAATAGTAATACCTCACAATTTCAAGGTAGATCAAAGTGGGAGGTTCATCAAGAAGGAAGTCCTAACCAAGATTGTGAAGGTATGGCTGAATATTGATCTCGTGGTTGATCAAGTCAGGCAAGGGTGCTTGATGATATGGAGTATGATTGATCATGGCGATGAGAGTTCATAGGAATAGGATTTAAAAGAAGAGCTTTTGTGAATGTTTTAGCAAAGGAAAATACCATGATAAAAAGAGAGGCGGAGCAGTGGAGGTGAGTCCTAGAATTGATTCAACGTGGTTTAAGTAGGGAGGTAGTAGGTAAGTTTGCACTGAATGCTGATTATGAGAATGTCTTAAACTTGATTTAGAAATTGAAGAGTGTTGATTGTTTCAACATTGATTTTGGGAAGAGATCAATTATGGCCATGAATCCATTAATAATTTATTGATGATATGTAGCTCTAAGATATACGATATGAAGATTGGTGATGGAGTAGGAAAGCGATGATTTTATTTATAGAAGGTAAGAGTTCTAAACTGAGAATGTTAGATACAGCTAGCTAACCCTAGATATGCCGTAATGACAATATTAAGCTATACTCAATCTTCACTGCTCCCCCTCAAGATGTGCTTGCTTGATCTTCTTTTCAAAACGAATCTCTGTCCTCTTCTGAGATCTCTACTGTAATGAACGGTGGGATGTCAAGGGTTTCTCTAGGTAAATATTTTTAATTGTAATACTTAAATATCCTTAAAAACTGAAAACCAATAGCATAGTTCATTTTTTTTAACTATTTTGATAATTGAGTTTTAAGTTTAGCATGAATGTAGTAATCCCCTTTCTCAGACATTTTCATTGAAAATAATTTTTATGCCACTATAAGAAATTCGTAACAAAACAATATAACTTAATTCAGTCAATGAACATTAATATTGAAACTAAGACGAAAGTAGAAAAATAATGTGAGAAGTGTTAGAAGTTAGAAGTTTATGTAGCTAAATGTATTTAGTAAATCGTTTAATTAATTACATCTAGAGCCTTAGTCAGATTAGGGAGGCTAGGTATATAGGTTGGCAGCCGCCTCTATTGTTCTACAAGTTATACGATTGACTCTGAGAGGTTGGTCCTCTCCGTGGATTAGTCTCAACGATACTCGTTGAGGATACCACGTTAATTCGGCGTTGTTCTTTTATGAGCTACATAAACTTCTAACTTCGAACAAGAAGTAGTGTATCAAGACGAGTTATGAGAAATTTGATAGAGAAAAAATATAGAAAAAATGGGGATAAAGTGTCAGATATGAGTTATGTGAAAAATAAGAAGTAAAAATATTTAGAATGTTTAATAGGGATTTAATTTGGTTCATAGACCCCTTTTAATAAACTAGATAGCCCTTTCACGTATGTCATAGATGACGACTACTACTTTTTTTTTTTTTCTTTGAAAAGGACGACTACTACTTTGACGAGTATATACATTGACTTTAGCAATGTGTGTGACCAAGTCTCATTCATTCCCTAATCTAAACCCAACTAATAAGGGAGAAGAAAAATGAAGAGAATTCATATATGTTAGGCTATAAAAATGGTGCAGCTGTAGGAAGATCAATTCCGCATACGCATAACACATAGATCTTAGAGAGATCGATCAGATTCAGAGTGGAAATCCATACATCCATCCATCCATTATATACATACATACTTAATATAATATGGCCACCGCCAAAGCGTTGCAGCTGGTTCTCATTTACACTGCGCTGTTAGTCTTCCTCGTCTTCTTCGCACTCAATGTGGAGTCTGCTAGAAGTAGGTTTTTCCTTTTTAATTCCTCGCTGTCATCAAAGTTTATCTTCTTGGTTTCGCCTTCGATGTTCCTCTCTCTCTCTCTCTCTCTCTCTCTCTCTCTCTCTCGCGTCCAGTTATGTGTATTTACTGCATAGATAGATAGATATGTAGAGGTTTGGATGACTGATTGAATGAATTGACAACAGGTTATGAAGAGGAGAAAAAGCTTTCTGGGGATTTGCAGTGCGTAAGATCGAAGCAGTGGGGCGACCTTCGCGTCCTGCCCACCACGGCGGTGGCAGATAATTGTTTATGGCTCTGTTACTACTTGAAGAGCGACGGCTACCTCGAAAAGATTCAAAGCGTTACTTATGACCGAGTATTTTTTCCCCAATTTGTTTCCTGTTTGTCTTCTGATCCCATTATTTAGTTCCACCACCACTTGTTGTAAACTTGGCAACCAATTGTTTAACAAGTTTGTTCTATAACTCCGTAAACTCCAATAAGTCTCTTCCTTCTCATGCTGATAATTTTTTCCTTCTTACTTTATTTTTCTTATTGCAAAACTGACCACCAACTCCACCAGATCGTTTACCTTTGTTGGCGCTACTCTTGTTATTCTTTAGTTCCACCACTTGCTGTAAACTCGGTAGCCAGTTTTTATTAACAAGTCCGTGCTATAAATCCTGTAAATCAATAATAAGACCGCAAGGGCTTATTGCACATCTTGCTACTTAGCTGAGCATTTCTACTATGCTATATAGCATTGGTTCTTTAATGTACAACTCAAAATTGTACCATAACATTAAATGTATAAGTTTAGGTTGTACCATAAAGCATTTGTACCATTATGTTATGGTACAACTTTACAACTTGGAGTTGTACCATCACATAAAGGTACAAGTTCAAGTTGTATCATAAAAGAATTTGTACAAAAAGTATAGGTACAATCTGAAGTTGTACCATAACGTAAATGTACAATTTTAAGTTGTACCATAAAAGCAAAAACCTATAGCACCAATACTATATAGCATTGTAAAATTCCTCCTACTTAGCTATGCTTTACATTGCAGTTGCAGTAATAGTGCGTGGGAGATCAAAAATTAATTATAAAGATTGAGTGACAATTAATTTTAATTTTATTTAGATTACTTTTTTTATATTTATTTAGTCTTTACGGTAAGCAAAATGGTATAAGAAAACAAGCAATTTGATTGGTCATCTCAATCCCTAAAATAGTGAAAGTAGTGCGAGAAAGTAGTGCTAGAGAGATCTGGTGACTAGGGTTTTGGCTGACGGCCCTTGTCGTCGCGCCGACATGTGCGCCGGTGCTCCCTCCTTTCCCCTCCTCTTCTCTTTTCTTGAGTGATTTGCTACTCATGGCTTCATCGTCGAATTCATCGCCTGATCTACAACCGACTAAGCCATGGGTGAGCTTATTCGAAATTTCCGAAGAAAATCGTTTGTGTTACATCAAACCCGAAGTGGTGAATGGTGGACTATGGATGTCGAATATAGTCAGAGAAGAAGGTGTTGGTCGATGGAAACACTGCCTAGTTGGTCAATTTCTGTAGGACATTCCTCCCCTGATGGTTCTTAGACGCTGGGCAAACAAACTCTAGGGTCGGGACGGCCAGGTCCGTGTTTCACTTCTGTGTGAGAATCTGATACTGATACAATTGCCTTCGCAAGGGACTTTTGATTGGATATTGGAAAACGGGCCTTGGTTTCACTTCGATAATTTGGTATATCTTCGCACCTGGGTTCTAGGCATTAGTGCAGAGGATTTAGGCAGAAAGGCGTTACCAATATGGCTAAAATTGTCGAATGTACCTCTTGAGTATGTGAACTTTGAAGGGCTGAGTAGAATTGGAAGTTGGGTCGGCATTCCCCTGGGTGTTGACCATACCACGCGGCATGGTAGGAGAATGGGTTTTGCTAAGGTCTTGGTTGGATTACAAGCGGAGGGTCCTTTCCCAGAAACGGTGAATGTTTGGCCTGATGATGCTCTCCCAATCCCAGTTCGTGTGAATATTATCATCTTCTGCCAGTTTGTCTAATCTGCAAATTATTGGAACAAAATATTGCGGTCTAATTCCGGGACAGAAAGTCTGGGTTGCTAAGTCGGGGCACCATGGAGAGCAAAATGCTAAGGGAAAGGAGAAAGTGGAAGCACATTTACCACCAGTCTCTCCTGTTCCTCAGATTGTTACTGATTGTTGGCTGAACCATCCGTGTTAAGGCAGACCCAGCCTTGCGATGGTGGCTTTCACCTGATGAGGTGTAACTCGCGGAGTCCCCAGGCTCCGAAGATATCACTCTCCTTCTCAAATGCAACATGGATCTGATGCTTTTGGTGTTTGGTGATTAACTGGATTTGTGCATAGGGCTTCAGCTCATCTCGGAATAAGTGGCTATTCTTGTTCTTCCATAAGAGCCAACACGTCCCTGCAAAAAGAGTGTTGTCAGTAACTCTACTACGCCCTGAAATGTAGTGAAGAGTCCATCGATGAATATCCGACTCGAAGAAATTTTTGTCAGGTTTGTCTTTGAGGAGATCTACCCACGTGGCTCTGGCAAACGAGCAATCTCTTAGCACGTGAATCGCTGTCTCTTGACCTCCTCCGCATTATCTTGTAGTCTGTGTTGGTGGTCAAGTGTCTTCGTGCTCTCTCTGCATTGGTGAGCAGACGATCATGATTAAGTAACGGGTTAATACCTTTTTGGGCCCGAACTATGACCATATAATCAACTTTGGCACGTGGTTTCAGAAAATAATATCCTGACCTCAACTATGCAGCATATAGACTAAATTGGCCCGACACATGCTTTGACCGTCAATTTGGACGATCAACATCATTGACCGTTAGTCAACACGCCATGTCATTGCCTAGTCAGCCTAAAAAAGAATTAAAAAATTCAAATTCAAATTATTTTTCTAATTTTTTTATTCATCATTTTGAAATTAACCAAAAATTATAATATAAAATATAAATGGTAAATTTAAAAAAATAATATATAGTATTTTTTTGGGTAATTTAAAAAATCCATAATAATTTGATAATTTTTTTTTTAATTTATAAAATTATCATTTTAAAATTACCACAAAAAATAAAATATAATTTTTTTTGTTTAATTTGATAATGATAAATAATAAAAAAATTAAAAATAATTTGAATTAGAAAATTTATTTTTTTTATATTTTCTAAATTTATAAAATTTAATTTGATATCTTTTAATTTATAAAATTTATTATTTTCAAATGTCCTAAAAGATAAAACATAAATTTATTATATAATTTTTGAATTTTAATTTTTGGTTAATTTGAAAATGATAAAGAATAATAATTAGAAAAATTACAATTTTAATTTTTTTAATGATTTTTAGGCTGGCTAGGCAATGACATGGCGTACTAACGGTCAATGGTGTTGACCGTTCAAATTGACGGTCAAAGCATGTGTTTGGCCAATTTAGTCTATATGCTGCATAGTTGAGACCAATATGTTAATTTTTCAAACCACGTGCCAAAGTTTATTATATGGTCATAGTTCGGGCCAAAATAAGGCATTAACCCTTAAGTAACCATAGAAACATTTGCACCGTTGCAAGGTTGGTGTTCGCCAGATGGAGCGCCAAATGGGTTGGACATGAACATGATTCTCTGCAAGATCAGTTAAAGCGTAGGCCGACTTAAGGGTGAAGTCGCCCTTCGGAGAGAAATGCCAGATTCAGACATCGGGATCCTGCTTCGTTGGGATTGGATGGATCATAATCTGCGCAACAATAGGAGTGGGTAAGTGATAATTCAAGAAATCCACATTCCACTTACCATTAAGCACAAATTCCATGACTAGCATATCCAATAGCTCGATTGGTAGGTTCAGGGCGTGATCTCTAAGGATGATGTCATTGTCAAGCCATTTGTCATTCCAAAATCGAGCCACTCTTCCATTTTGCAAATTCCAAGCAGTGCATTATCAATATGATGGATAACTCTTAAGACTCCTCTCCAGAGGTTTGATAAGCGCCCCTTTTCTCATATCGCCCAGCCTCCCTCTGTTTATCGTCCATACTTTGCCAAAATAAACCTCGCCTAGAGTTCGTTCGGTTTGGTAAGAAGTCGCCATGCTATCTTGAGCATGTAAGCCTCGTTTGTTCTCGTCGATTCCTTTAGCCCAGAACGCCCTCCTCCTTTGGTCGACAGACTGTTTCCCAGTCAGCCAAATGAATTTTCCTTCTTTGCTCTGTGCTACCCCAAACGAAAGCCTGGATCTTCTTATCTATATACTCTCGAACGTTGGTCGGTAGGAAAGTTGTCTGCATGGTATAAGCCGGGAGAGAAGAAAGGACCGATTGTGCTAATGTAATTCGTGCAGCCAATAACAGTGTATCAACTTTCCACCCTGCAAGACGAGCATCAATACGATCAATCAAGTCAGTAAAGGTGGCTTTGGACACCCGATTATGGATGACTGGCACTCCTAAATAGCGCCCCAAGTTAGCAGTCTCCGGTATCCCAAGATCTTCACTCAATCTCTGCCTCTGGGATGTGGTAGTGTTTGCCGAATAGTATACCCGTGACTTGGGTTTACTAGCCTGCTGGCCTGAGGACACTCTAAAGCTCGCGAAGCATGCCGTGATCTCCTGAACCTGTGCACTTATGGCTTTACCAAAAAGGATAAGATCATCTGCAAAGAAAAGGTGAGATAATGATGGTCCATCTCGGTTCAGCCTAATAGGTTGCTACAGACCATTTTGAACAGAATCATTTATTAAATGTCTAAGCCGTTCCATACACAAAGTAAATAGATAAGGTGAGAGAGGACATCCCTGGCGAAGCCCTCTTGTTGGTTTGAAGCTCTCAGTAAGTTCCCCGTTCCATTGGATCTGCATTGACGCCGTTGAGATGCATGCCATAGTAAGGTTGATAAATTGGTTGGCGCGCCTGCAGCTTCTAGAGTGTCACGCACAAACCCCCAACGGATCCGGTCATAAGCTTTGCAAGCTCATTTTCAGGACCATCCAACCTCGATGCCCCTTTCTCGCCCTAATAGTGTTTACTACCTCATGCAGGATGCATATGTTATCCGTGATATGGTGACCTGGTACAAAACTAGTCTGGATTTCATGCACGAGAGATGGCATGAGAGTTTTGACACGCCAAAACACAACACCAAACTGCGACCAAGTGTAATCGCAGTCCGGGAATGCAGTAACAGGCAAGTTCAATTATCAACCCGGGGTCTAGATCTACTGCTTACTCCGTGATTCTCTATTATCTAGCAAACTAGTTCAAGTGATTGTTGTTAAAAGCAAAAGCAGCAAGAAAGCAGTAAATTGTTCGGTTTTCAAAGTCAGGAAAGAGTCACTCGGGATTGAGTCCCCCTAGCCCCTTAGTTAGGTTCAATTGTAATTCCCCTGGGTTGATTTACTGTTGATTAGACTGCGGAAGCTCCGACAGTAGCTTGGAATCTCTTAAGGTGACCAA